ACAAAAGCTCTTGCAGGTTTTTTTAGTGCATGTCCCCTGTTTAAGAGCACAGAGGAGCCATGGAAAGCACAGCATGACCAGAAGTTTTGATAAGCTAAAGATAACCCTTCTGATAAAAAAATGCTAACTTCAGGTTCCTGAAATTTACTATGATTTTGCTTTAAAGAAGTTTACTCAAGTGCAAATTTTATAACTGGAAATTAAAGCCAAAAACTTGACAATTTTAAAGGCAAACAGTTTGCTTAAGAAATTATTTCATAAAAGCAATGGATGAGGCGATGGCAAATAAATGCTCCTTTTAGCTACTTCAGTTCAAAAGCAGGTATTTTTATATGCCAAGGACACACTCATAAATACATAGATTTAATATTATTTCAGACAAATTCATGCTACAGTTTCTACAAATACAGTGAAAAGTTTCTGTATGATAATGTTGTTGGGTTTTTTTGTTTGCTTGTTTTTTAGGACACTTTTGATACTCCTATAATAGCCCACAATTTCACATACATATGGTGCATGGATATTAACACAGTAAACCCTATTTACATAATGGTCATGGAAAATTGACCAGTGTTTTGCAGAAAGCATGTTTACTCTCTTAACAAAATTACAAATATATCCATTTTCACTGAAAGTGCTTGAAAATCTTAAACACACAGAAATTATTCTGCAACTAAGATACACTAAATTCTTGAGAAACATACAGCGCACACAAGAACTATACTGGAACAATCTGAAAAAAGTTCAAAGTAAATTTAAATAGTCTAAGTAAAATGAAGTATGACCAGACACAATATTTAATTGTTCTTAAAAATTGTCAGATGAACACATTTTCATGGTTATTTCATCCCTAAGCTACTCTGGTACGCTAACACCCGAGCACAGCAATGGGTCACCCATTTAACCATGCTAGGGAAGCAGGATCACCTCTTGAGTTAACAAAACCTTTATTTTTTATTTATTTTTTAACCCTTAGGGTTTCTTTTCCCTGGATGGCTCTTGAACACGTGCTGGACAGGCTGTCACTACTTGCATTATTAGCTCTGATAAGCACACAGCTCTAGGTGGTATAGCTGCAGGCTAAGGTAACGGACTGTATACAGATGGACCCCCGTGCCCATGCAGAGCACTATTGAATGTATAGGGGCTCCCCATAGGGACAGATATGAACCTAGCATGATCAAGTAAATTGTAAAAGGCCCATACTTGTAGAATAGCTTTGTTTCCTATATTACCAATGCATTTACCACAATTTCCTAAAGACAAAATGAAACAAAGGTGTATTAATAGTAGTTGTTCAAACAAAATCAACATAAAGCCAAAAAATCCTACACTGAGAGCAAGTTAAATAAGTAGCTATGCCACTTAGTGTAAACAGCACAATTTCATGCACATGTGTGCACTCTGTAGCACACAAACCGGATCGCAGGAGTTTTGATTACTTAATTACACAGCTTATGTTCATAGCTTATAATTGTTTACGGCATAAAAACCATAGCCTATTTACTCTGATTAACACCTATCCCTGTGTACTAACAAGACAAATTTATTCCAGGAATAATTTCACAATGGATTTAAGAGATGATAAATTCTTCTGTTCACAAAACTGCTTAAACTTCATTTCCCGTGGTTTGGTCTCTCCCCCTCATCCAGATTAAAAGGTGTACAACAAAATAGCTGAACTGATGCTACCACCTTGTTTTTAATAGGGATATGAATGTGGGGTTTGCTTGTCTATTTGATCATAAAAATTGCATCAGAAATATTCAGTTTCCACCTCTAACCTCCACACAATTTGATCAAAGCTGGCTTACAGGTAACAGAGGAATGAGGGGGAGACAGATGCATCCACAAACCTCATTTTCCTAAAGATACACAACTGAACGCTATTCAGGAGAAAGAAGATAAAAATTATAGCTTTGCCTAACACACACACAAAAAAAAAGGCATTTTGCTTTGAAATTTATGGAGGCAAAAACATGGAGAAACTGCAAGGTAATGGTCCACAACTCACAGCTCCAGAATTTCCAATACTGGTTGCTGCCACAGAAAATTAAGATGCTGAAACCAAAGTCCTCATCCTACACAGAGAAAGTTCAGAAGAGAAAAACACACACACACACACACACACCCCCTTTGGTCTACCCCCAAAAATAGCATGCTCTCAAAATATTTTTAACTGATGTCCTCTTTCAATGGCCCTCATTACTGTAATTGCTTTTCATCTTCATTTTTTTTTCTCCAACAAGTATAGAGTTCAAAGTAAAAATGATTCAACTATCATTCAAATGAAAAAAGGTGTATTAAGTCCTTCTGGCAGCACTGGAAGTTACCTGTCGTGATGCCACTTTCCTTTGGCAGATATTCCCAACTCTCTTCCCACTTACTCATCTCAAAATTGTTATAACAGTACTCCTTTATGTCTTTTGGGGAACCCCTAAAAGCAGCTGCTTGAAAATATGCTGGTCCACTTCAACTAGACTTGACTCTAAACCTAGTGATAAATGTCTAGAAGCCTCCTTTGAAGATTCTTATGTGATAGTGAAAGACAACAAGCTACATGCCCGTGGGGGAACAACTGTTCTTCCTGCCATGGTAAAAATCGCTGAAATAATACACGCAAAACAATATGGTAACAAACTAAAATGCACTGCTTTGTCAGTAAGTACTCTTGGTTACACAGTGTGGGAGGTTTGCTATACAGCTGGATGAAAGTACAGATGTTTCTAACTTCTCTCAGCTTTATGGTATTTGCATTTCAATCATGAAATGCACAGAGAACTTACTTTTTTTTTGTGAGCCACTGAAGGAGAGATGTACCGGGGAAGACATTCTCAACGGGAAATGGCTTCTTTAATAAAAACCAATGTTCTATGGAAAAACTGTGCAAGTGTAACCACTGATGGAGTGGCTGCTTTGACTGGAATAAAAAAATGATTCCAGGGTAAGGTTACAGAGAGAGCACCGCACATGGAACTGCTTCATTGCATCCCTCGTAGCCGAGCTATTGCAGCGAAGAAGTTGGAGCCAGGAGTGCACAAAGTGCTACGGGGTGACATCGATGTGGTTCACTTTATAAAAACAAGCCCTTCAAATAGTAGCATCTTCACCAGACTTTGTAATGAGATGGGGAGTGACCATGAAAATCTCTTGCACCGCGCAGAGGTTCGCTGGTTATCTTGTGGCAAAGTGCTTGAAAGAGTTGTCAAACTTTATGCATTTTTCTTTTACAAAAAGGCAAGTGTTCCAAATTTGCTGACCTTTTCAGCGGTGACAGGTGGCTGTGAGTAGTTTGCTACCTAGCAGATATTTCCAAAAAACCCCCACACTTAATGTGTCCCTTCAAGGTGAAGGTGATGTTTTAACAGTGAGTGAGAAGTAACTGCTTTTCAAAAGAAACTCATGCTATGGAGAGAGCATTTTGAAAATGGATGTTTGGAAATGTTCCCCTCATTACACGATTTGTTTGTTTGTTTGTTTTGTTGCTGAACACAGTGTGAGTATGTCGCCTATAAAACCTCTTGTATCTGTACACTTTAAAAACGTGGAAGCAGAATTTTCTAACCTATTTAAAAATCTTCCAAATGAGAGTCTCAGTGGGTTTTGAACCTATTTGTTAACAATATAAACGTGCAACACCTTCCGATTACTTTGGAAGAAGAACTAATTGACATCAGGGAAGATGGTCATTTACTAACCCAATTTCAAGAAAAACCTTTGCAAAACTTGTGGATGGGACTGAAAAATGAGTATCATGATTTAGTAAGTGCAGGCAATGATGCACTTCTTCCACTGGGGTCTACGCATCTTTGTGAGGTATCTTTTTCAGCTATGACACCCATTAAAACCAAGTATTCAAATAAACTGAACTTAGAACCAGACCTTTGAATTGCTGTATCACAAAGTGTTAAACAAAGATTTTAAAAAATAATGAAGCATATTCAATCATATAGCTCTCAAAAAAAATATTATTAATAAATATTTTTCGAGCAAAAAGGTTTTTGTACCATTGATAAATAACATAAAAATTATTTTAAAGTACTGTTTGTTTCACCTTTATCTCATCCTTTTTTAATTTATATTTTTGTGTTTTATAATGTATATAATATACTAGTACAGAGGTACATGTATATAATTTATAAATATATATAGAGAGAGGGATTGCGTGCTCAGAAATTTTTTACTGATGGGGTGTGCGATCAAAAAAGTTTAGAGAGCACAGATCTAGATGACAAGAGGCAAGTGCCCTCTACTGAAAGCATGACACTTGTATAGAGTAATTCTGTGGACTAATTTTTTTTTTTCCATTCTTGCACCCATCTTATAGCAACATTCTCGGCTAACCTGTGCGGAAGTAGCTCTATCTTTCTGGTACTTCAAAAAGTTCCAGATTTCTTCCAGGAATATATGAACAGTTGGGTGTCAGAAGAAGTGGTGATACCCAACTTTAAAGAGTTACTGTCCAGTACTCTTCAAAAGAAAATGAAAACATGCAAAAGTGGACCGCATCATCCTATTTCAATATCTGTCTAATAACACGTGTCTGTTTATGTGCATGTATCATTAAAATACTGGGGCAGGGAAAGGATGCAGTTAGTTGGGAACATTTAAATACATGTATCATAATGAAGGAGGCCCTAACTGAAGGCTCACATGAGGCAATTCCATTTATACAAGTATCAAATATTACGTACAGGAATATAGCAGCTCTTGTGTTGCTCTGTCATCACATAGTCTAAACTGCAATGTGGAAAGTTTTGTATCAATGACGCTGAATTCCACAGCCCTCGAGAACAAGTCATTTTGGAAAATAGTCCACGTCACCAAGCAGCCAAAGCCAACACGGCAGATTTATATGCTTTACTACTGGTTTCACAGTGAACAGATAAGATGCAGATCATACATATCAATTCTCTGACTACTTGACTTCAAAAACAAGTATTATATTCAGGGCACAAAAGTGAATACATCCAATATCCCGATGAATATTTGACTCTTACCTTGCACTTTATCTGAACACAGCTCCTTGGCTCGCTCTCTCATTATTTGTGGAATCAAAACATCTTTTTCTACATGTCTCAGCTTAGAATTTTCTGCAAGAGGGGGAAAAAATAAAAAAGGAAAAAAAAAGATTTTTTTTATCGATACATCAGAGAAAGTCAATCTACAGAAATAACACAGCGTTGTTTAATAACGTACACTAGTATACTAAAACTGTCACAAACTAGCAGCAGAAAGTACCGTGGAAGGACCACACAGACCAAAAGGCAGGAAAATCCAAGATTTAAAACTGCTCAGATACAAATATGAGCATTATCCTGAATATTTCTGTTCTGTTCAATGTGCACAATGAACCAAAAGTAACGGAGAAAATTCTGGCAGCATATTCTAATTTCTGCCTTACTAAATAGAAGGTCTGCATACAGACTGCACAAAGGTTGAGAATTACTTTTATTTCAGGATACTAGTATTTTTCTATGCACATTATCTGCACAAACTGGCTTTTTTACTCACTGTCATAAAGCTGAGAAATATAGCACATATTAGAGCACAAGCTGAAATTTGTATTGCTATGTGGAAGACTTCAGTTCTTTAAAAAAAACCTAAGCAGCATGGGTGCTTAGGATCTAAGAGGATCTAACAGTTTCTTCATGGAGAAATTCAACTTAACAAGAACAAATGCTGCTGTCTGAATTCTGCGCTTAAAAGTACAGCTGCAGCTTGCTTTCAGTTGTCTCAAAACAGAATTCAGTACTCTGAGTACAGCTAGTGATTTTGAATAGTTAAACAACACAGACCATTTAGAAAAAAATACTGCATTTCCAAATCCATTTTCTTCAAAACAAAGGGATGAGAATTTATCAAGAACAGCTTTTTACTTCTTAGCTTCTGAGTTAAAAACCCTTTAAAGGATATTTGTTCAGAACATTGTATAGTCCAACACGGTTATACCAAATACCTGGTTTTCCTCCTCAAACACACTATTTATTCACCCGTTGACGCTGACATTACGCTTCAGAAAAGCATCAGCTGTGATGCTCACATTATGAAAACACTGTCAGATACACTCTTATTTTAAGACAATCATTTCATTTAAAAACTGCTTATAAAAAATTCAGATGAAATAACATAAAAGTATGACGTATTGAAATTAAGGAAAGAAGCAGAATTTAAGTTACCTACCGCTTTCAAACACTATCTATTTTTCAGAGCATCTGCAGTTACTTCTAGATCAAAAGGCAACAGAGACTAACATTTCCCTAGTCATTTCTAACTCACCATGTTTTGAAGTTTACTAATGCTATGAGGTTACATTATGAGGTTACACAGTGTTGAATCTGTGATATTACTAGGGGAATCAGGTAATGAAACAGAGGATTACAATGAGCAATATACAGAATCTGAACTAAAGACTTACCTTTCTCCTCAAAAATTTCTTACTTGGAATTTCTACAGCAAAAGAAAGAAAACAAAGTGTCTTCTGTAAAGACAACAAAAACGCCAAACACAAATAGCCCATGACTTAGATTTGCTTCTATGCTATGATTTTCATGACTGAGATAAAATAATTACAATTAAATATCTTCATTTTAACTTTCTGCAGAGTATCAGTACAATTCCTGTACTGAGCATTTATTACATTACAGACAACACAAAGCTGTCATCAAATTTTATGCATGTTTTTTAAAAAGCGGGACAAATCAGTTCAGCTGAATGACATGGCACAAAACAGCACCAGCAAGCTACGTGCCTCAGCTCTACTTTGAACTTCAGTCAAAGCAAGCTGGCACTACTGCAGTCCTGCCTCTCCCGATCCCTGCAACGCTCTTTCCCCTCTGCCCAAACAGATGTGCTCTGCAGTCCTGTGGTGAACTGAAAGGGGAAGTTAATTTGGTTTAAAGGTAAATAAATTTCTTGTCAGGCAATTTTTCACCTAGATAAATTCTCCAATCAAGTTCACTATATAACTGCATAAATGGCCCATGAGAGGGAACTGTGTGAGACTAGGACAAGAAGGAAGACTGAACTGTCATGAGCACCACTGGCCCAAATTATAGCCTAAGCTTCCCCCCCTTTTTTTTAAATTGGTTATACTGCTGCTTAGAGTAGGCAGAAAATAAGCTGATCTATGAATGTGGATACAGATAAGCAAGTGGGTTGCTAGCTGCCACCAAAAGGGAAGTTTTAATAGTTCCCCATTGCCCTCATTCACCCCCATCACATGAGCACTATTACGCACTTAACCACACAATGAGTGACCAGTTCAATACAGAAAACTAACTCAAATACACGCAAAAAAGTGCTTCTCAGCTGGTTTACACTTTGGAGTAACTAGATCTACTTATCAGAGTTCTAATAATTACTTCATTTAACTTTTATATGTCAGTAGCCACCCCAGCGTACATGGAAATGTAGTGGATAGCACAGAAGTCTTTAGGGTCTGGGAAGGGCAGCTGGGCTTCCCCCGCTGGCAGAGGTGGCAAGAAGCGTCCACGGTTCCCACAACAAAGCACAGGGCTCCAACACAAGGATCAGCCACCCACTACTGACAAAGAGGAGACGCAGACAGGAATGCAACTGTGCAACTGAAGGCCAGAAGGGAAACAGGACAAGGGCACCCTCCAACAAAAAAAAAAAAAAAAAAAAGAGAGAGAAAGAAGGCCTCCCTGTTAGCCCAGAACAGTCAAAAAGGATTTTCTGTTCGTAAAAAGAGAGAGAAAGAAGGCCTCCCTGTCAGCCCAGAACAGTCAAAAAGGATTTTCGGGTTTTATCTTAGCTTAAGCACCCAATTTTCTGTTCAATTATTCAAAAGGAAAGGGGCCTAAGAATGATAGCAAGACGTAGCTGTACTGGTGTTAACACCAGCTCAACCAGAACCATGACAGAGCTGTGCTCCAGGCAAGCTCCTTCATTTTAGTCCCATGTTGTCGAACCTACAGAGGCTGAAAATGCAGGAAGGAGAGGGCACATCAGGACACGGGGCAGCGTCCAGTATGAAGAATCGAAAGAGAGCTACAACAGTAATTCAAAGGTAATTATTCAATGGCATAAAGGAAACAGGAATAAAGACCACTTATAATCTCATCTACAGTTTTTAAAAGAAAGTTTGTTAGTAAGTATCAGTTTTTAAACTGTGAAAAGAAAAGCACAAGCACTTCAAATCATTTTTTAATGTCTAGGAGGTAGTTTTATGCATCTGAGTGCAACCATCCCTCCGAACAGCTCAAATGCAGATGTTCCGTTTGGGCAGTACTGTACCTACTCATGAGTTTCAATTGTAACATCTTAAGTATTTTAATATTCTTCCTTGATTCTAAACTATCCATTGCATTATGATTACAGTGATTTCTTCAAGGATCTTAAAACACTTTACTGAAGTTGGTATCCCTAGCATTTATACAAAATATTAAAGAAAAATAAGGCACAAATATTAACAATACCGGATACCAGCTAGAAAAATACATTTACGTGCAGAGTAACTGCATTTCTGATACCAATGTATAAGCACTTGCAAGGAGATCATCATCAATCCAACCTAATCAGCTCTGCAGTAACGTATATGGCAAGAACTTTCAAAGAAACAACACCTCAGAAGCAAGACTTCATCAAAAAACATGAGACAGCCATGATGTGAATCCATCAATTCCTTTTGCCTTTTTTCAACTATATTACAGTTTCTAGAATAAGTACTTTTTTCCTCTTTTGAAAGTTCACTGTTCTGCACTAAGAAAGATAATTCTTATTCTAATACCAGATTTGTTGCAGACTAGTCCTTACAGAAGAATCTGCATTACAACAGACCTACTACTGTTTTATCTTCAAAACATCAACAAAATTATCCCCAGACAAGCAAGAAATATGTTTTCCTACAGTTTGCCTGCTGCATTTGAAAGCTGATAACTTTGGTTCCCACCCATATCCTCCACACACTTTGCCTGGTCTTCTGGGTAGGCTCTTTGAGATGATCAAGGCCTTTGGCCGCAAAGAGAACCAACAAGAACACACTACCTCTCAGCTTCCAGAGGGCCAGACAAATGTTAGCAGCAGCTTTTCCTTCTCCTCCACCAGCCAAAACTCAGGCGTGTTTGTTAGAGAAAATTAATACTCTGAGATTCTACCTTTACCTTAAGCTTACATCCTGTTGAAATTTGCTGGTACCATCAAACATTACAAGGGACAGATGGATGAACACAAGCTAATTAAGTAAAGGTTACAAAAAGCAGACTAAATGCAATTAACAGTAAAAACTAAGTATTTTGTGAAAATACACACAGAAGTTAAGCCAGAATTAAAACCAAATGCAGGCTTGCAGGTGTTACAGCATCTAAGTCACTAGCTCCTTGAAAATGTGAATAAGGCTACAGCCAAGGAACCTGCATGGTGAAACTACTGAATGTTTCCTAAAGACAGAGATCAGCACGTTTGAGAATGCTGATGCTCCTTGTGGGACGAGGAACAGAAGAGAGGATAAAGAACTGGTATAGAGGTTATAAGCTCGCAGTTGCCAGAAAAAAAAGACATAAGGGTGAAAACACAGAAAAGGGAATATCTCTGTGAAAGAGAAATTGTTTTCCGTACCACCTCAGCCCAGTGTAAAGAATTAAAGGAATGAGAGAGCGATTACTAAACTGGGAGATATCCCTATTCAGCAAAACACTACGAACACATTTAAGACTTTTTTTTTTTAACATATAAAATCTGTGGGTTTTGGCAAATCTCAATGCTTGAAACAGTTCTCTGGTTGCATACAATATGTAGGGCACAAGACTAAAATTGTAATAGTTTCCTGTGGTTGATCAAAACCCTCAGCTGCAAAAGCTATTTATTGCCACGGAAGGCCAAGGACCACAGCCATTCGGTTTAACGGCTTTCACTATTTCTGTAAAAATGACAAAAAAAAAAAATCAGGAAATAAATGCATGAATAGGAATGAGAGCATCACAACCACTGGAACAGTACAGAAAACACATCAAATTCACTCTGTATGGAAGCTGGGAAAACAGATGACGAACACTCTCCTGGCTTCCTAGCCTCTGACCACAGGATCCAGGAAGGCCTTGAGAAAAAGAGGACCAGGGTGTAGACCTGTGCTGTAGGCAGCAGACCTTTAAGAGGACAAGAGGAAAATAAAACACAAAGCTGCTTTACAGTCCTAATAACGAAAGGGACTGTAGCAGCTCGTCATAATAATTAGAAGACTATTACAAAAAGGGGATACCAAGACAAAAGCTTTCCTAGAGGAGTGTCCTGAGAAAAGTCATACCATCTCCCCTCTTCATTCAACACAACTGGTAACTGACTTACTCACCCTTTTGTCACTATGTCCTGCTGGTAGTTTACAGCTCTGCTTTCATCTCTCTCATGACTTCAGGTAGCAGGGACACAGATTACTCAGAAAAAGTTGAGAAAAAGTTGAAAACTTGTCTACCCAGATATTTACAGAAGCCTCATACCTTCTGCATCCAAGAGTAACAGTTTTTGAAACATGCTTTTCTCATTATATAACCTGTAATTTGGATTTTCGTGGTTCAGTTTATCTATGCACATTTTTAAAAAATAGGTCAAAGCAGTACTTTAAATATTATAGCTATTTCAGCAAGAATCACAGTATATATGGAGAACAGAGAAAGTTTTAGTAAGTTTTTAATATTTTCATTAGCAACTGTTACACCTTGTTTTTCTTGAAGTCCCAGTTATATCAACTTTTAGACATCAGTTATTTACTAGCAAAAATGCTGTAGAAAGTTCAGTCAAGGTTCAAGAATCCAAGTTAAAAAATGTAACTCTCTTCAAAATATAAACATTTTAAAACAATCACTTTCATTATTTTGGGGCCTTGGATCAGAAATGTGGAACCATAAAAGGGACTTTTTTTTTCTTTAAATACACCTTACTATTTTTTTCCTACCAGCTGCCATCAAAGATAAGCAGTTGTCAGTGGATAGATTTCTAAGATGCCTTTCTTTTTTAAGCTAAGAAAAAGAACTTGAAAAAGTACTAACGAAAACTTCAGCAGCAGAAATTACAGCAGTTATTACAGTGAAGAAAAACAAGAACATACATGCAGAATTCCCGTTCTTTAACTTACACCACATTTAAAGAAAATCTCCACTCTGAAGAATTGTAACACAGTTCTTTTCCTGGAAGGGAAGGTCTTGTCCTCATCTGTGATGAGCCCACTAAACTTGAGTTTACCAGCCATTCTCTCATTTTTTCCATATGCAGATCTATAGTATAAACAACACTTAAAGTTAAGATGGGCTGGAGAACGAATAACAAGTTTATAGCTGAGTTACATAAGTGCATTAATTTGGGGGATTCGCTTATTTTTCATATCACTTGGTAAAAATTATTTCTGTGCTGTAAATACTCCGTTTCATCACGAAGTTTTGTTTTAAAACACTTGCTTATGAGCTAATTATAAAACTACACAGAAAAAGTACACTTTTATTAATAACAGAAGTAGCAGCACAGTGTTAATTGCATGCTTATTGGCAAACATTCCTTTCATCAATCAGACTATTGGCTCTAGAGGTTCGATTTTTTCAAAAACCATTTCAGATTTATTTTAGTCTACTTGTAACAGTGTTTTGAATGGGCAAAGATAATTATAGCTTACTACTCCTCCAGGAAAAGAATGCATTCAACTCAAAATTTTCATCTCCTTTATTCTGCCTAGCTTATCCATTTTGTATTAAGTAAAAGTTACTGATCTTACGTTAATTCATGCAAATTATTTTGTGCATATGTGTATCATAAAAACAGTTATCAAAAAAGTCTGTATAATTGAATATATTATCAACTACTTAAGACCTCTATTCTAAAACACTAAGTCACACATTGGAACAAATTAATTTATAGATAGACCCATTAAAGTCATGGAAGGAAAAAACCCTATGTTTCTAAAATCTAAGTTTTTTTCCTACAATTGTAATTTAATGTATCAATGTAATTAATGCTTTAAGTACCCAATCCTGTAGCCTGTGAGGGGGCTCCTGTGCCCTTACTGCCAAGAGGTTCATGGGGCCAAAGTGACAAATCGTTTCAGCATACTGTTTTGTAACCTTGGTCCCACAAAAACATTCAGGATCCTGTTAAAAGTAATGGATTTTATCAGTCAAAAACATCCAGCGTGAACTGACTGATGATGGACCAGAACCAAACATCTTTATGCATACATGAAATGCTACTGAGTTTGGTAATTTCATTTGCACGTAGGTGTTTGAATACGAACTAGAGTCTTAAGTACTTTCCTCTCTACTAAGGTTTTAAAGTATAGAAGGATAACATGAAGTGACAGAAGTGTTATAATCCAAGTGAAATAACATACATGATATCCTGAAACCCTGATTTAAAAGCAGAAGAGGCTGATCAGTGCAGCTTCTCTATGAAGCAACCTTTTTTTTCTTTAAATGTATATGAATAAATTTATTTGTATTTAAAAAGTTACAGATTTTGAGATCTTTCTATCTAATACTGACATCATTTTAAATTAAGATGGAGTACAGGGATGACACCACCAGGGAAAATTTCCAAAGCTTTAACTTCTCACCATTCTATCATCACCTCAAAGTCAATTTTCACCTTTTTCACTGGCTGAATTTGTTATCTTACATT